TGGGGTTAGCCTCACTTAGTATAGGCCTATAACTTAGGTCTAGTTTTATTTTAGCAGTTAAAAGTAAGAAATTGTCGTCAACCACTTTCAAAATTTCCCAATTGTACAATAAAATTTATCAATACAACTATTTTATTGTCTAAGTTACACCATTTAGTCTTAAACCTTACCTGTAAACCACGTGGTTGTGATTTCATTTCGTAAAACGATTTTGTATTTTTAGCTACAAGACAAGAACATTTTTTACAAAGTTTCTTGCAAATCAAGGGTGGTGTGATTTTTGTTGGTATAATTATGTTGTAGTGTTTTTTTAATGACCTCGTTTTATCTTCTCCTTCTCCAAGCAACATAAACTTAGGCCTAATTAGTTAACTATTCATTGTTGTTAAAAAGAACAGAACCATTTTACAATTAAATATAAACGGCATGGAGTTTAATCACTCAATATAGAACTGATTGTTAATCATTTCGTATTACATACAATATACTATAATATGCTCTTTAGTATTATCCAATTTTTTCTTTTGTACTGTATTTATCATGTGGTAGATTTGTTGACTAATGTTGAGGCTCTTGTTTACTTTTTAGTGTTTACTCGCAAATAATGACAAGGAGACCTTGCCGTCAGACCGTCACCGCCCTTTTTTTCGTCTGTCTAGAAACGGGACAGCGGAATTTGAAATCGGAACAACGCTTCCCCCACTACTGCGCTGTGCCGAACGCTTCCGAATCTTACCGAGCAGTGCCGAACTTAAACGTCAAATTCAATGCTGTCTGTCGCGTGGTGTACTTAATCGTTTTGGCTTGTCTTGTCAACAATGCATGTATGCCAGTGCTCAGTTTTGTGATAAGAGTTTTGTCAATCGGTGGGTTTTGTCTCGACACCTTCGTGAAATACACGAATTCATTGAGGGGGAAAAGTATAAGTATAAGTAAAAAATAAGTACTCATACTGTGAGTACTTATTTAGGCTACCTACGATACAAAACCAATGATAGATTTTAAGGTACAATAAAAGAACGTATTAAATGGTTTGCACTGTAAACAAAAAAACTATCACAACAGTTACAAACCGAAAAATAGAAACAAATAGGAAAATTGAAATAAATATGAAGAATAGGGTAATTTTTTAAACATATTTTATCGAAGTTATAATCAGGTAAATGGAAATTCACTAAGTCTATAAATTTGCTGCGGAAGGGGGATTATATTGCTGTTTACACAAAAATAAAAATAAACCTCATAAAACTCAGGATAATGGCTTGGCAATGATTATAGAATCTTAATTATTTCCTATATCCATGAATGATTTCTTTTACAACGAATTATTGCCTGTAAAATATTATTACAGCATTTCACAAATATTAGAACAGACTCAGTATAATAGATCATAAACATAAACAAATGGTGTAACTGATGAAATTATATTAACATATTGTTTGACAGCTCCATTTAAGTAATGTTAAATAATGTTTACATTCGGGCTAGTGACATCATTATTTTAAATTTATAATCCTTACCCTCTCTGTTTTAATATTCGTGCAGTATTTAATATGTTTGAACCAGCTGTGTAGAGTGGAATTGTGAAATCAAAACTCATTTGACAGTTAGTTCTGCTTGTTTATATTTTTAAACTTTGTAGGTTTGTTCTTTGTTACCATGGATATACCATCAATCAATATTTACTTTTAAATCTCTCACCTCAAATTTTTGAAAGCCCACTGGGCAGAGCCCTAGGACAATATCGAAGCGGGAATAGTTCTATATGTATCCTCGGAACTGTAGCTTCATGTGTGTGCAATTTGAGCCCAGTCGGTTCAGTAGTTTTTGCGTTATTGAGTAGTAGACAGACACACAAACACACACCATAGTATAGATAATACATTTTAATAATTTTTTCCCCAATTTTAATTTAATTTATATAAATGTAATCATATTTACTTATCGTTTAATTTAAAACAGATTGTAAATAAAACTTTGCAAAAAAAATATATTTAATAATTTGTAATCATTAGGTAATAATCAACCATCAATTATAAATTAAATTAAATTTTAACAGCTGACACATTGTTATTTTCTAAGTTAAAGTTCTTGTTCTTCACATTTTTTTACTTGCCTTGAATTTTCATAATTTGAGTATTTACTTGAACAGAAGTGAATAAGCATGAGTATTTACTTGTACTTCTAAAAAAGCCTTTCCAAGGAAGTATATACCCTCATAAACCTATAAATTTGGTGTGAATAACCACCAGCAAATACTTGCCTAAAGAGTAAATACTTGTTTTTCAACTAGTTATCAATAACCCATATGCTTGTTTAAATTTACTTGTTGATAAATGCATGTAACACATTCAGTATAGTGTAATACACTTATTTAAATTATGTGTGACTCTAGTAATTTCCGCAAAATAATGCTTGGGTAATTGAAGATGGAACCTTTGTGGTATTCCTTCGTTATGTTCAAACTATTTTGTTAATGAAAATCCATCCACAAGTCTCAATAATGCAAAACCTTCACATTTTACATGTTTAAATGAAGGCCTTATAGACCTTCAACAATATATATATTTATCTATATTTATTTATTTAATATATATATATATATATACTTGTACTGTATAATGTTTACTTTAAAATGGAGTACATACTTGCAAGTATACCCTCATCTCCGATAGATCAGTGAGTATACCATCTCATTTAGGAAGTATTTACTTGCAAGTAAAGAGTCGCTTTTATTCACAAGAGATTACTTGAACGACGAATACTCGCGGCCGAGTGAATACAAGTACAGCAAGTATTTACTCACAAGTAAATACTTGCTATACTTGTATTCACTCGGCCCAGTGGTATGCTAGTGAAATCTTTTACTGAAATAATTTTTGAACTTGAACACACACACTGACATCCCAGATATTTTCACAGAGATACTGGTACCTACAAACATAAACGTAGACCCATGCTGAGTAACTTGTGACACTGACAAACAAACAAAATAAACAAGTAGGCCTATAGAAAATTCACAATAAGATATTTCTCATTTAAAATAGCCAAATTTTTGTTTTCATTTTGTTGTTACAGTTTCCAAGATGAAGAAAATATGTTGTAAATAAATGTAAATATTATTTGTGTGTGTGAGTGTGTATCAATATATGTGTTAAATTGTTACATTTTAAGAAAAATTTATTTTGAAGGCCAGGAATTTTAACACGAGGTATGTTACTAGTTTTAAAATGTTCACAGCTGAAAATAGGCCTACCTGTTAGCTATAATTTAGAACGACATGGAATTAAACTTGTTCTTTCTATACTTTTGTTATTTAAACAGTGTAAACAACAATTAATAATAGTTAGGATTTTTATGTAATTCATCTTTATTTGGACTTATATAGTTTTTTGTAATTTTTTATAATTATTCTAGAAATAATTTTCAATTAACATATTTAGACTTATATTTAACATTAAACGGCTACTGTACTTTGTTCCCGCGTAATTTAAAACAGGCTCGGTGATGACAGAAACCCGCGATCAGATGTTCAGTTCGGATTTCAATTCCGCTGTCCCGTTTCTAGACAGACGAAGGTGGGCGGTGACGGTCTGACGGCAAGGTCTCGTATAATGACATGGCGACCAATTAACCCATAAGGCCCATGTTAAATTTCCAAAAGTTTGCATTCATGTAGGGAAAAGTCCTATGGTCCGATTTGTACCGTTTCAGATTTATACCTTCCCATGGTTGGTTACTATGACTGTGTTAAATTTCATGCAGATCGCTTCAGCCGTTCAGGAGGAGTATTTGTAATAAAAAAGCAGGAGTGTAGTATAAGAGCTTCGCTCGCTCCGCTCAAAAATATATATCTGTACATTTCTAAGCGGATTCAATATTGTCATTGTCCAGTAACCAATCTTTCGTAAATACATAAATACCACCTGCTTCCAAACAAAAAAGCTGTTAGAACACCACTTGCGACGTTGCCACTTCGAAGGCCACGGCCTGGGAGTTAAAGGCGGCCATGGTTATGCCCAACAGTAATTAAACCAGCATACATCCATACCCTATTAACTTATTTATCCTTTGGAATTAATTGTAAAGGGGAAAGTTGTAAAATTTACATTGACATCAGAATAAACATTTAATCAACATCAGCGCAATCAACCATATCGAGGAAATAATCAAGCACCAAAATACGCTTTAGCATTGATTAAAATATTCAACATAAATTGCTATAGGCATAGATTAATGTGTAAAATTATTTTTCGTCATGGGGCTTAAATGCTATCATAGATTAACCATCACAAGTAAACTTCTCATTCCATTGTAAATTTTGAAGGCCGTTTGTCGTGTCTAGTTCATGTCCGGTGACACTGATCGCTAGTGTAGACAAAATTTTATTTTTTGTTATTTTAGGGTTAATTTCTCGATTTGTGCTTTACTGTTTTGTTAAATAACTAGATGACGAACTATTGTTTATGATAATATCGTTTTTATGCGGTTGAACGAGGTTTTACTTTTAAATTACTGAAAAACAAATTGTAAACAAAAGACGACCCCTACACTCACGGCCATCTTTTATACCACTGCAGTGAACCGGAGACGATGGAACTAACTTCTTTTATCGTCCATATTTTTTATTGTGTGGATTTATTCCGTGATCTATAAGGATGAAAAATTTACTATGGGAGGATGTTTTATTTATTATGTTATCATCTCCATTCATCCACGGCCGCCTTTATTCATCTGTAAAGTCATTCATCCTTTACATCCTTATATGGTTTTACCCTACATGTTTCGCATATATTTCTAAAAAAGTAGTTTTACGTACTTTTGTAAGGGGATAGATTCAGGAACTTTTTTTAGATCCTTAGTAGTCAAAGATGTGAATATAGTGTGTTGGTTAACATTGTGCCTGCCTTTTTTTCGGATCGGTATGCTCTCGCCTGCCACACCCTTGCATTCTAATATCTTTGTGAATTAGAATCGGACGCCATTTCCGTCGTCCAATCCAACCAACCCAAGTTCTTCTCTTCGCTTTGTCGCCCGTCGTTAATTTCTTTCTAGTTCACGTTCACGTGCGGCGTTCTTTCTGCTAATTTAGTTCTTTTCAAGTTTCAACGGAAATATTCTAGCGGCTAGCTAGGTAAGATATGTAATTGTTATCTTATTCTAGCCCTATAATACAGTATTTGAATTATTGTAATGTTAATGCATCTAACTTATAGCATAGCTTGCGATCTCAGAGCTCGGTATTTCAAAATGGCTCTTGTGAGATCGGCTTGGCATTAGTTTTGGACGGTTCTAGGGGATTTCTCGCTTAGCTTATTTTTTTAAGTGTTTTATTTGTAAAAGTGATGCTTAAAGCTTAGGCATAGACCTATAACGACCCAGGCTTAAATAGACCTAGGCTAGGTTAGTTAGGTCCATGTTCAGTTACTGGCCTACAACTTCCCCCTTTGTTAATTCAATGTATAGTCTACGGATTCGGGATTTTCCGTTTTTCAGCAAGGGGCGAAGGTCTACCACCAAAACCAAGGATTAACTTTGATAACTTAGTTAGTAATGTTATTGTTTGGGTGGCGTAACTTACAAAATTTAGGCTAGCCTTTCACTACTCTTTTGTTTATTGTTCTGGATCCACACGTCACTTATAGCCTATGCAGGTTACACACTGGTGCGACTTGCATGCTACCGGAACGCTAAAACCAACCCATGTTAACTTGTGGGTGCTTACACACTGATGCGACCAGGGTTGCCACCCGTCCCGATTTTTGTTCCTTATGCTCCTATTCAAGCCTATGTTAATCTGGGAGGGAGGGGGGGCAATGTCCCGATTTTTCTCTGACCTAAGGTGGCAACGCTGGATGCGACATTCACATGCTAGGCCTAACTTGTACGCAAATACAACCAGCCGTTATTTTGCGGCTCGCATGCACGCCACACGATTTCTAGTACTTAGTCTAGCCCCGGTGATTTAACCGATCGAAGTAACCGAAGTAATCGAAGTAAGTTTTTTATACAATTTTAGTTAATTTAACAATGAAACTGCTGTGTTTGCATCTAGCATTAACTTATAGTCTAAGTTAGCCTACTAAGTTTAACTTAGGCCCTTATTTGTAGCCTAGGCCTACTTAGTTAAGTTATAGTACAGTATCTGAGTTAAGCGCTTGCTAAGTACAGGACAGCTTGCATGTTGTGAGTTGCAATCAAATGCACGTCGCACCAGTGTGTTACCCACCAAAATGTTCAAAAAGCGCTTTTAAAAACTGTTCTTTGACATCAACGAGCTAACTTATAGGCCTACCTTACAAATTGGTAAAGTCAGTCTAACTTTTTGGGGGGAGAGGCTTCCTTTATCACTAATTACTTAAATATCTAGGCCTAGGGTCTGACCTGGATGTAATGTATGTTTTTTAATAGGCGTTAACTAATTTCTTAATAGGTCTAGCCTGCTATAACTTAACAAACCAAACTTATTTTTTTTAAATCCCCTATTAATCTCCGTACGGCATATTTTATTACCTATCTCTGTATAACGAATAAATATACTTAACTTAGGCCAAATATCAACATCCTTGATTTAAAAATTTTTTCACGATCCTGGCTAAAATAAGACACCTCAATATAATGAATCTATCATTGTCAGAACCTCTACCTAACTTAAGAATTGTCCGCGCCTTCCCTCTAAATAACTTAACGAACCCACGATACTTTATTGTTGAAGGGAACATTCATCATTATCGTTGATTTCTTTTTGATACATCGATATTAAAGAATTGAAACCCCACATAAGTTAAGCCTAGGTTTTTTTAAATCACAGTTTCCTCATGAAATGGAAATGTGAAGTCAACATTTGGGCTAACATTTGTCTGCTAGGTTGGATCTTACATAGGCCTACCTATCTCTGACTGCTGTGTCATGTACTCATGACAACTTTGAATGATATGTAATATAACATTCTTTAGGCCTAAGTGTTTTTAGCGAATTTCTCTACCGTAGCTAGCTTGTTGGTGGCATGGTAAGACCTAGGCCTATGCCTGGGCCCGATATACTTTTTTATTTAGATGTCCCTAGAGGCATAAAACACTAGCCTAATCATTCAAATTTAAAGTTATTAACCCTTTGAGGTCGAATTTTTTTCCACATTTTCCGGCGAATTTAGCTTGCCATTCAAGCAGTTAGGAAAATGGCGCCTAGCGACCAATACTCGCCATTCGACCAAAAAAATTAACTTTTTTGATTTTTGAATGATTTTTTTTTTCCTTGTAGGTTGCCATTTTTGAGCAGTCGGCATAATGGCGGGCGGCGACCTATACTCGCCATTCGACCGCAAAGGGTTAGGCTAATATTGATATTGTTCACATATAGGGCTACTGTAATTAATATTAGCCTAATAGAAAAAATAATCCTCACTACTTGCCCTTTTTAAAATTATTTTTAACCGACTAAAATGCATTTAAAGTTATGAATTATGAAGTCCAATGTTTGTCTGTCATATGCAATATGCCTTTATGCGTCACTAAACGACCATCCAATTGTGATGAAACTTTAAGGAAGTTAAACAAGTACGGTAGGCCTACTATACAAAATAAACAGTTTTATTAGCCACATTGAGTTATATTTTAAGGTTTTATGATTTTATTTCCCAGTTGTTGGAGCCAATCACAAAATAAGGCTACTTTCCATCAGCTTTGACAGTACCTAACTTATCACAAAAACCTTGGGTTTGGTTTTTAATTTTCAAAAAAGTCTCAATTGATAATGTTATCCCTGGTTTTTAATATAGTAGGCCTTTATGGTATTTTACCGTGGGTTTTACTATCAATTGTAGCCTCCCTAACCCAGATAATTGAGATTGGTTCTACTTTACAATGTGAACACTCCACTGTAAAGTATTTAGCCTATGCTCAATTGTGATTTAATGAGGTAGAAGCTTGACCAATATTGACCTGATAATTGGTGAAATACAGTAAGTAGCCTACTTCTAACATTGAATTGACTTACTTGACTTATCTCCTTTCACTCCTGCACGGAGCATAGGGCCTCCACGAAACAACGCCATCGGACTCGGTTGGCAGCCAAGGCTCTCACTTCCCTCCAGTTTTTCCCTGCATCTCTTATTTCTTCTTCTATAGTTCTTCTCCAGGTCATTCGAGGCCTTCCTCTTCGTCTATGCCCCTGGGGATTCCAGCTCAAGGCCTGCCTCTCTACAGCATCTGGATCTTTACGAAGAGTGTGTCCAATCCATCGCCACTTGCGTTTTTTAATCTGTATCTCTACAGGTTCTTTATCTGTAGCTTTCCACAGCTCTCTGTTTGAAATAACCTCCGGCCAGTAGATCTTCAGTATTTTTCTCAAACATCTGTTGATGAAAACTTGGAGCTTTTGTGTCAAAGATGAAGATACCTTCCAAGTTTCACACCCATATAGCAACACAGACTTGACGTTGCTACTAAATATCTTCAACTTGGTTCTGGTTGAAATGTCACGAGCCTTCCATACTGGATACAGCTGTACAAAAGCAGCATTAGCTTTAGTAATTCTTGACATTACATCTTCATCAGCTCCTCCGGCTCTTGTTAAGACACTTCCCAGATATGTAAATCTGTCCACCTCTTCGATTTCTTCATCTGACATTCTGAAACTGTTGTTATTCGCTACATTTATCCTCATTGATTTTGTTTTCTTTACATTTATTTTTAAGCCTGTAGATTGTTCACTTTCCAAATCCTGCAACTTTGCTGTCATGTCATCAAATCTATGGGACAGGAAACAAATATCATCAGCAAAGGCCAGTTCTTCAAGCCTCTGTTGTAGTCCCCAGGATATGCCTCTAGCTCCTTTCTCTGATATTATTTGCAAAACCTGGTTTAGAACTATCACAAAAAGTGTTGGTGACAGAACACAGCCTTGCCTAACTCCTAGCTTTACCTCCAAAGGATCACTTAGTTTACCATTATGAATTACTCTACAATGGTAATTTGTGTACCTACATCTCCTTTATAAGAACTATTATTTTATTAGGGATCCCAAATTTCCTAAGTGCTTTCCAAATACTCTCTCTTTTTACGGAGTCAAAGGCTTTCAGGAAGTCAATAAAAACAAGATACAAACCAACTCGGAACTCATTACTTTGCTCGATAATTATCCTCATCGTATTTATTTGGTCTGTGCATGAGCGGTTCCTTCTGAACCCAGCTTGCTCCCTTCTCAACTTCCTATCAACAACCTCTTTGATTCTGTTCAAAATAATTCTTGCGAATATTTTCCCATAACATTGAATTAAGATATTTAAAAACCATATTTATGGTTTTTGGTAGAGTAACACTAGTAAAATAAATTAATGATTCTGCTTGATACCTTAATACCTTAATACCATCTCTTCGTTTTTGACCAGGTTTACTGGATTAACTGCGTCAATTTTCTTAATATTGTATTAAATTGATGCCATATCTGTGCGCACACCTTAAATTTAAGAGCTTAATTACGAAAATCTGTTGGGTAGAAGAGCCATACGAAGTCGGAAAAGAAAAACCAAATTTAACTCCCATAAGTTGTGTTCAGGGATGAAGTTACTTTTAAATGCATAACTATAAAGACACGTCAGATAAATGAATGCTGGTGCTTGATTTTTCTTTACTTCAGCAATCTACCATCAGCAATCTGGTGGATATACAGCCCGTGTTGGTCTCCCTACAGTGGATCTGCAGTCTTCAACAAGCCTATTTTCTAATGACACATCACATCACCAAAAAAACTCCCCTGTGAAGCCACAGGTACCAATTACATAAAACTATTGCGTAATGTGTAATTCAAATCATGGTTCTTTTTTAAATAATAATAGCAGAAAACCCAAAAAGAAATCTTTTGTATGGCCTATGTGTGAGGAGGCTAGGTTAAGTAAAAAATATGCAAGGTTAATGCACTTGAATATACAAAGAGGAATTACAGATTAAAAAAAATGAATTGGACCTACTTTTGCTTGAGTCTAATATATCTGTGCTTAGCTTAAATGAACATTGGCTTAAAAAATATCAAATCAATATTTTAAACGGTATAGAAAATTACACAGTTGCTGCTCATTTTTGTAGAGAAAATACAGCTCATGGAGGCTCATGTATATTAATGAAAAATAATTTGAAT